GGGTTTAGGGTTTAGGGCTTAGACGGACCTCGACCTGCTGCCCTGATCACGGAAGCTCCTACGTGCTAGGCACTGTTCGGTACGGTACTCCGGCTCTTGCAGTACTGTCTACTCCAAGTACTGCGGAAAGCATCAGACAAGCCCAGCGACATCATCGCAAGTAGGCGCTTTCCAAGTTCGTAGCTGACCTGTCTTCGGCCGGGGCAGGCAGAGCGCATGCAAGTGCAGGTTGCTTCCCAACAAGACTCCCGACTCCAATCAGGAGAATCGAGATTGGCTTCGGCTTTGAGTTTGGGGGAGTTGTTGACAAGCGAACTCCTAACCACAACCCCCGCTGGCTGCGGGCAAGTTGCCGAAGGCCCGGTCCAAGGCGTGCACACGAACCTCGAGATTCGTCGTTGGGGAGCTAAAAAAAAAAAGGGGGCAAAACTCACAGAGACCCCCTGAGGTCTGAAGGTCGGAGCTCCAGGCTACAGTTCGGCTCAAAAAGTCGGATCCCGGATCTCGGAGCTCAAGGCTGCATTTCTTGAACCGCGGGCCCCCGCGTTCTCCATGGACTCGGCATGCCGCACCTCAGGTCGCTGTTTGGGGGGGAAGAGATCGGAGCCATGAGCGCTCTCTCAAAGGAGAGTTATAGTAAGGAACCCTAAGGAATGATATTGGTAATTTGGTAATTATTTAAGCTACTGCACTGTACCGGAGCTCTTTTTTGGGTGCTTTCAGGCCCTTTCTGGCCCCGAGGCTCTGACCAGGTACACGGTTTTCAGCTCCTCGGAGGGCTTCACCAGTGGGCTCCTCGAGCTCGACATGGACCTCAGGACACCCAAGGGCAAAAGAAAACGGCGTCCCTCTGTAGCCATCAAGAAGCCGCTGGGTGTTCCGCAGTACTCCTTTCCAGGCTCCGGGGCCCTATTCTGTCGAATTTTTGGGAGAGTGAGGTGTCGGAGCTAGGCAGGTGCAGCCACCGGACGAAGATCCGTGAAGAGGATGAGCTTCATCGTCACTACGACATGCTGTGTTGACCTCCTATCCATTTGCCGTGCTGGATGGGTTCGTAGTCGTAGCACCGACGGAGTAGGCCAAAGAAGAAACCCGAAAAGAATCCGGCCTGGCATGGCTCGGGGCGCAGAGCTCCGTGTAACACCCGGGCCCGGGGTCCATGGCAAGGCACTTGTTGCTCAGCTTCGAGGGCTCTTTTTCAGTTGTACGGCTCTGGGCTTGTTTAGTTGGTGTATAGAGGGCTTCTTGACTTTCTGAGTTCGGGGTTGTGGGCTTCTGGTTCAAGTTTTTGCGGGGCTCCGTGCAGGCACCGAGCTTGCCCTGGGCAACGAGGAACAGTGGAACATCACCCCAAGTGGACCGCTTGATGCTCGGCAAACGTTGTGTACCTCCAAGAAAACGTCCAATCTGTTGAGCCACAAAGAACTTCCACATAAACAATGGACTTCATTTTGGCGTCTCGGGCTTTGTTTCTCGCATTTTTCTCAAACTACCGACGCTGCTCCTGGAATTTGTTACACTTGGCGATGTTGAGACAGATGAAGCCATGCAATAACACTGATGGCGACAAGAAACTAACGAACACATATAACCGTATAACCGTTTAACCTGTAAACTTACTGGCTAGTAACCGCCTAGTAACAAAGAAGAACCCTGATGATAATGGTGATGATGATGATGATGATGGTGGTGATGATGATGATGACATTGAAAAATGGAGACCACCCACGGTACGAGCATATCCACATTGCGGATCCGGTCACCCCAACGCCGAAGGCAACGACTTAAGCCCACCTCGAAGAGGGCGTCGATTTTCTCAAAAAGGTTCTCATCGTCCATGATCTGGGCTCGAAGCTGTGTCGAAGCTATCACCGTTATGACCTCTTGCTGGGATTGAGATTCATTAGATGCTGCTTGCAAACTTTACTGGAGAAGGTTTGGGTGCGGGTTTTTTGGGCTTCAGCTCTGAACTTTGGGAACCAGAATGCAGAGCAGCTGTCACCAAAAGGCCTCCATGTGCAAACTTCATTGCGGCCTGACCGAAAAGACATGATGCTCAGGTGTAGGACAAAGGTCTTTCGACCTTGCCTGCAGCCTCAGCTACCCGTACGCCACAGAGTCCCATCCTTGGGGAAGCGGCCGGAGGAGAGGACTGAGCGGCGGACGCGGCTGCTGTCAACACCGGGCATCAGGAACTCGTCCACGGCCACGTTGTCTCGGCAACAAGGCTCGTGGCTCTGGGGGCTCCCTGGACTTGAAGGAGAGCGGCACGAAGAGCGGGAACGGCAAGAATAGCCCTGGAGCTACCGAACCAGGCAGGGGTCCAAGTCGATGGTGGGTAACATGAGCAAGCGGGAGTCAACCAGTGGCAACAGCCCTGAATAGCAGTAACAGCGGCAGCGGAAGTAGTGGCAGTAGCACGAACAGCCGTCGTCGTAGTCTAGTAGCAGCAGCCGCCACTGATCTCCTGGAGGTACTCGGCCCTGGGACTGCTGCTCTGCATAGCGGCCACGAGCTCCAGCTTGGAAATGGAGCCGCTGCCATCCGCGTCCTCAAGTCGTAGCTTCGTTCTCGCGCATTCGGACTTCGGGTGTAGGAGCTTCATGGGTAGTTATCAAAATTAGGGTCCCTTTTTGGGTCCTTGTTATAATACGGCACCAATTGTTTCGGGTACCCCAAAAGGGAAAAAGGTTTTGACAACTACCCTCATGGAGCTTCAGGGTTCAAAGCTGGGTTTCAGGGTTTTGGACTTTGGGCCTTTCGGGTTAGGGCATATCATCTCGGGCTTGGTAAATCTATCCGATCTTGGGCCGATGGCGTCCACCGAATTCTCAAGTGCCTTTGAATGCTTCAGCTTCGGTGCTCGGGCCCCCGCGATGAGGTTGAAGATCTCCTGCATACGGTTCCTGAAGGTGTGATTCACGCGCCTAAAGAGCCGAACCCTAGCCCCAAACCGAAATCCTCGGACCTGAACCGAGACCCTGCGCGGGGTTCTCCTAGATTCCTAGATCCAAAGCTCCTGAACCAAAGACCTTCTGCCAATCCACTCCCCAAGCAAATCACCTGGGACACATCGCTGCAGGGCTGGGTTCCGGGTGTCGACAACTGCCGGTCTTCGGGGTGGAGCACGGGAACGATTTGCGAAACTGAGGCCAAGCACGACCTGGGCGTCTTCTCGGTCTTCGCCTGAGGCCGTTCTTTGCTTTGGAGACGCCGCTTTTGCTGAGGATCTGCCCGGCCTTCCGGACATGCTTGCAGAAGGACTCATAGTCGATGCCCTTCTTGCCGGCCGAGATCTCCTGAAAGGGGCCATGATTCAAGCAACTGCGGACATGCATTGACAGCTGAGTTCAACCGCAAGTCGCTCGCCTGATTCAATCCTGGAGCAGTAGCCACAGCTGCAAAGAATCTCGCCCCAACCCGCTTGAGAACTCCGCTGCTGCCTGAAAACCCATGCCCCGGTCTGGAACCAAAAGTTAGCCCCCACTAAAGTCACTAGGCTATGAAGGGCGCTTGCCCCTTCCGCCTCGAAGATGCTGTGCAGCTCGTCGAAGCTCTTCTCATCGCTGAGTAGCGAGTCTCCGTCAATCTCGGGAAACGCAGCGCTCAGGACTAACATGCTAGTGGCTGCTGCTACTGGCAGAACAGCATAACACAACAGGAAATAACTGGAATCAAGCAGCAACATACAAGTGGGATCCAACCTCGAACCCATTTCTGCAGATTGGTCTGGAGCAGGCAAGCTCAAAGGCGTAATATGACTACGGCAATTCCACTGACAACAGGCGTGGTAACGATGGTATCGAAAGAAGAAAGCCAACGACATCACACGATCGTGGCCCGAGAGAGCGGGCTCGCTGACAGTCGACAAGGTTCTCCCGACACTTCCGAAATAGATCTTCTGTGAGAAATGTCCCAAGATTCGGACTCAGGTATACCCATGCGCGCGGTTTTCAAAAGCCGGCTACGGCGAGATGAAGGATGGCCCACCGATCTGCACAGAAAGGTACACCCGAACCCTCCCCCTTTTTTCCCGTCTGGGCCCCGGAACCCTAAACCGTTAAACCGCTCCCTCCTGGGTCCCCCACCCCCACAAGTTGCGCGATGCTCTTGTCTTGGCTCACTGCCTGAATCAAAGTCTCAGAAGGAGGTTTGGGAATCAGGGTTTAGGGTTTAGGGTTTTGGGTTTAGGGTTTAGGGTTTAGGGTTTTGGGTTTAGGGTTTAGGGTTTAGGTTTTGGGGTTCTGTTTAGGGTTTCGGCGACAATCCAGGCGAGGCATGGGGTGCGAGGTCTGCTTAGAAGTGAAACTTTGCGAGTTCAAGACCATCACAACAACGAAGTTTAGGGTTTAGGGTTTAGGGTTTAGGGTTTAGGGTCCTAAGGTAGTACAAACCTGCTAAGTTGGTGGTCTTCAGCTCGCCGAAATCCAAGAAATTCTGCTTTAACTAGCTTGGACTTCGACGGTCTACACTGAGACGACTTTGCAGGAATCAGGGTGAGCTATCGGCCCATAAGACGCTTTATGGGAACGGGAAGGCCCCTGAAAATCTTAAGTGATCTCACTAGAATTCTCAAGTGAAACCTGCAACAACTGACCGCTGTTGGCTCTTTGAATAGAAACTAAGCGACAAGTTTAGGGTTTAGGGTTCAGGGAAAGTAGTTGCAGTTGGCTGCTTCTGTTGATGGTTACTTTATAGTTACAATAATTATGACAACAAATTAATGTTCTGGAGCTACAGAACCAGGGTTCAGGGTTTAGGGTTTAGGGTATTAGGGCTTTTGTATGGATCCTACTGTTCTGGAGATACTGCTTCATCAGAAATTGGGCAGAGACTTGAGGGCAGGCCAGGCCCCCCTGCAGCAATGAGCTCCAGCTTGGACACCACACCTGGCCAACTGTGTTGAATTGCACCCTAAACCCTAAACCCGAAACCTAGACCCTAAACCCTCAAGCTTCGCACCGACGACTGCTGATTCGCAATGTCTGGCCCAAGACTTACGCTGTCAGAAGGGTGTATTTATGTCTGCCCATGTTCCATGACATCGTACAGACATGCGCCAGAATAGATAACGTGTTAGCACATGCCGATGTATGCAGGGGATCTGAGAATCAGCCATGATAGAAGGAGATACTGAAAAAACATACCTCCCAAAAAAGCTACGTAGATTCGAAGGTCCTCAAAAACCCATGAGGGGCTCGCCGTTGGAGTTCTTGTCCAGCTTGGCGTAGATGGACCTCAGCTCCAGCTCGGAGACTGCCGGGTCCGATTCCTGGCAACTTGGGCTGCGCAAACAGCTTCGGGAACTACAGTCATCCTTCAACATGATCCTTCATCATCATCATCATCATCAGCAGCAGCAGCAGCACCATCATCACCGTCATTCTGACCATCATCGTCATCATTATCGGATAATCGTCATTATCGTCATCATCATCGTCACCATCATCGTTATCATCACCATCACCAACATCATTATAATCGTCAGCAGCAGCAGCAGCAGCAGCAGCAGCAGCAGCAGCAGCATCGCCATCATTGTTACCATCATCATGGTAAGAACCCCAAGGATAGCAGCAAATTGACGATGAATCAATGGTAAACATACAAACAGCGGCAACAACAAAAGAAACTGGTCGAGGAATGTCTAAATCTGGTACGAGAACACCATGCGGCGCTACCATGGCTCGTCTACATAGCTACATGCGAGATATACCCGCATGTTAAAAAGTCGAGATCCATGACAGATTGATTATGCACATGTCACATATCTGCCAATCTACACACACACACACACACATATATATATATATATATATGTATATATATATATATATATATGAAACTGAACACACCTAGCTCTTAAATGCCCAGATGTAAATCTGCATGCATGGATGCATGGGTGTGAATGCAAGTGTTGTGTGTGTGCATGCGTGCGTGAATGTGTATGTATGTATGTGTGCGTGAGGAGGCATGAATGCAAGTAGGGGTAGGGGTATGGGTTACGGGTATGGGTTACGGGTAGGGGGATGCCTCGGGAGTGGTAGAGGCAGACGCGTTGCAGGAACAGGGAGGTATGGGGTATCGGGAGGTATACATGTGTGTACATCTATATATATATATATAGATGTGTATATACATATTATATATGTATGCATAGGAAT